TTGACAGAGAGGAGAAGGTAGAAATGACTCAGCCTGGAACTGAAAATATGGATGGAGGACAACAGAGCTGCTTCATGGAAGAAGAACCCCAGATTAGCCTGTTAGCTTTAGCGTCGACTACGTTATAATGCCTTATATGTATTAGCTCGGTGCTAGCGTGACAAACAAGCTAAACTGAGGTCCTCCATCCATATTTTCAGTTTCAGGCTGAGTCATTTCTACCTTCTCCTCTCTGTCAACGCTCCCTGGTTTCCCCAAAGCCCGAGTCATTTGGCCAATCACAGTCAAGACAGGCCGTCTATCCTGATTGTGATTGAACAACCATTATGTTGTTTTCAAATGGGAGATTRGAACGTAAGGATCTTACTGTCTTTATTACAAATGAGGGTTTGAAAATTGAAAATATGTCACAGTATAAATATTTAGGATTTTTAATTGATGATTATTTGTCCTTTTCTGCCCATATTCAACAGCTGGTGAAGAGGCTGAGATTAAAATTGGGATTTTATTTCAGGATTGGACCGTGTCTATCTTTTGAGGCTAGAAAGCGATTGASTGAAACGTTTGTGTCTGTACTGGATTATGGGGARATTTTATACATGCATGCTTCTCTTAAATGTCTATTCACTGGATACTGTTRATCATGGAGCTGTAAGATTAATAACAGGTTTAAAAGGTTTCATTGCACTTTATACAGTCTGGATGGATGGACAGCCTTGGACACTCYTAGACTCCYTCCTTGCRATATTTTTATTTATAAGGCCATTCTAGGACTTCTTCCATCATATTTGTTGGCCTACATGAATAGAAAGTSTACTGGAGGATACTCTCTTCGTTACGAGAATTTATTTMTACTTTTGGTGCCTAAAGTCTGAAGTGAACTTGGAAAGAAATCTTTTCAGTTTTCTGCTCCATTTTCTTGGAATCAGTTGCAGAGATACCTGAACCTYAAGGTGCTGTTCTCTCTAAYTGTTTTTATGGCTGTTCTTATTGATTTTGGGAAAGAATCYTCTGTTTGTAAATGTTTGASGAARCTTTTATTAATGTATCTATGACGGTGCTGTTTCTACTTTTGCTGTGAACGTTTTGTAACCTCTGCGTCCTGCTGCCAGGATTCCCCTGCAAGAGAGATTCTTAATCTCAATGAGATTTTCCTGGTGAAAATAAAGGTTTAATAATATATAAAACAATAAAAGACTTTATATTAATAATATAATTAATA